ATATATATATATATATTCAAAAAACTCGCAAAGATTGACCAAGAAATAATATGCAGCTGAAAAGGTTTGCAAAAACCTATAATTAACTTCGTATTTTAACTTCGGATAAATGGCAGATTAAATTCTGTTTTAAAAAAAGAGATAGAAATACAAAGTCTCACATCTTTTTGGGATTCTCTGGACCCCCAGTGATCACTAAGGTTAAAAGATTTTTTACAGCATTGTTATAATACTTATAAAAATGATTACAATTATTAGAAAACTATTGCAATTATTTCTTAAAATTGGAAAAATTTTTAGTGAGACCGAGAATCGACCGAACCAATTTCAAATCAGTCATCATCAAAGCTGGTCGCACCCATAAATGGTCTGTGGATGTATCTGGTGAACCTCCACCGGAGATTAGATGGATCTGGAGAGATAACATCCCATTAACTACTACTGAGCGCATTAAGATCGAGAATGTCGAGTATCACACGGACTTTACGATTGTGAATGCAATGCGCAAAGATACCGGAAAGTACACGCTTGTTGCTGAGAATGCTAATGGCAAAGACGAAGAAACCGTCGAGCTTACTGTACTCGGTAAGTCCAATTTTCAAATTCTTTTTACGACGTTCTGTGTGTAAGGATATTTATCAATATTTAATAAATTCATTGATTAATTTTATTATCTTATTTTTGTATCAGTTGCACGAATAAATTTTTAGATAGAAAAGAGTTTTCGATCTTAAAAAGAAAAAAATCTTTATATAAAATTGTTTCTTGCAGGAAAACCGGATGCTCCTAAAGGACCTCTGGAAGTCAGCGATGTCACCAATACCTCGGCGAAAGTGAAATGGGAGAAACCAGAGGATGATGGTGGTGTGCCAATCAAAGAATATGAAATCGAGAAGATGGACACAAAGACTGGTAAATGGGTCAGAGTCGGCAAAGTGCCTGGAAATTCACCGAATACTGAATTTGAAGTCACTGGGTTGAATCCTGGAAGCGAATACAAGTTCCGCGTAACAGCTGTCAATGACGAGGGTGATTCGGAGCCTCTAGAGAGTGAACGTGGCGTTATTGCCAAGAATCCTTACGGTATATTAATATTTTCTTTATATATATAATTAAACAATGTGTATCTAATGTTTATCTTAATAATTCAAAAAATATTAATATCACAGGATGTTGGGAATTTAAATGTCAAAACTTCAGGAGTATATAGGGAATTAATAAACTGAAATAAGAAAAAAAGTAGAAATATGCTCGTTTTGCTTCGTTTTAAAAAAAATCGCAAAAAAGATAAAAAAATCATAGTTGCTCGTTTTCGCATTGCCTCTGAAGTATCGTCGCTGAAATTGTGCACGAAATGTTTGTTTACATTTTTGTTTTTCTCCTGTAAATTCAATTCATTCCTGTAATCGTCAGTTACTTGTCAGAAGTCATCGAGTGAATTACTCCTGTCACAGTACATGCCACGTATATATTCTAACGTTGAATATGCCGATATAAATTTCGTGGCTTCTGCAACGCTGACGATAATGCAAGAGGTCAACATTTTGAACAATATCTACATTAAGCAAGTGAATAAGTAATGAAAAAATAAAAAATGAAAACTATGTTTTGTCTTTAATTGTGCACTGATGTACATTAAAGCCGTACACTGTTTTAATTCGAGTATAAGTGAAATGTAAAGAGTAAAAGTGAAATGTAAATATTTCGAATTATAAAATACATATTTTACTTAATAATATAATAAAATGTATTGAGTATTTCAGGATTTAATCGATTTCTATGTTATGTATAAACATATCTTTACGTTATTTTGTATGGCTTTTTTTTATGTATGGCTTTAATGTACATTAGTGCACACTGAGTGCATTCAATCGAATTCGCTATTAATTTATCGATCCTCTATACGTTCTCAAAGTTTTGACATTTGAATTCCAAACACCCTGTATATTGAAATTACTTTATTAATTTCTTTGATTATATAAAGTCAATTTTTTTAAATTAAGAAGTTAATTAATATGTTTCAACTTTTTGTTTATTATCTCTTTAAAATTTTAATTAAACATTTATTTGTTAAATTTTAGAATAAAATTTAAAAATTTCTTTTTCAGATGAACCTTTGAAGCCTGGAACGCCCGAAATCACCGATTACGACAACGAATCTGTAAGTTTGAAATGGGCTCCACCGGAATTCGATGGAGGAGCTCCTATCGAAAAATATATTATCGAGAAAAAAGATCGGTACAAACCCGATTGGGAAAAGGCTATCGAAGTACCTGGAAATCAACTTGAGGGCAAAGTACCCGATTTAAAGGAAAGAGGCGAGTATCAGTTCCGAGTTATTGCCGTAAACAAAGCCGGACCGTCGCCTCCGTCCGACGCGTCAAAGATGCAGATCTGCAAACACAAAGCTCGTGAGTTTCTATCAAATATAATTATAATATAATTACAATTAATGCATGTGTCTTATATTAAAAATGTTACAATTAATAATACAGTAATATTATAATACAGTAATATTATATTAATAATATAATTAATTAAGAAAAAGAATTATAGAGAAAAATTTAAAGATTTATTTTTATTATATAAAAAATAATATTTTGTTGTATAATTTCGCTCATTTCACTAGTGAAACCGAGAATCGACAGAACGAATTTGAAACCCATCATCGTTCGAGCCGGTAAAACTGTTAAGTACGACGTGGATGTACGTGGCGAACCACCACCGGAAATCAAATGGTATCACGTCGGCAATGAAGTAAAATCCGGTGAGAACATTGAAATCATCAATATTGATTACAACACGAAGCTCACTATTACTGATAGCCTGCGCAAAAATACTGGCGTATGGAAGATCAAGGCTGTCAATCCTCATGGCGAAGATGAGGCGGAAGTTGAAGTAACGATATTATGTGAGTGGCATTATATGAAATTTTTGTAACTGGCAGAATATAAATTATGAAATACTTTTCTCTTCTTTTTTAAATTATTGCGCTAATTTCTTGTGTACAGCGGCTCCCGGAAAGCCAAAAGGACCACTCAAAGTGGCGGATGTCACGAAAAATGGTTGCAAACTCAAATGGGGCAAACCGGAAGACGATGGTGGCAAACCGGTAACTGGATACCAAGTGGAGAAATTGGATAAATCGACAGGCAGATGGATACCAGTTGGTCGTACCGCAGATACCGAAATGGACGTAAAGGGTCTTCAGGAAGGACACGAATATGAGTTTAGAGTAAAAGCTCTAAATGAAGAAGGAGAATCGGAACCACTTGTATCAGACGGTTCTACACTTGCAAAGAACCCTTATGGTAAATTGTATAATAGTAATATTAAATAAATAAATTTATTAATTGTTATTAAACAATTTTTTATTAAACGAAGTTATTCAAAAAGTAAAAATTGATATTATGTAATAACTTTTTAAAAAAGTATCGTATATTATTAAAATATAATTTAATATAAAATAAATAATTTATGATATATATTATTTTCACACCTTAATTAAAAGATTCTGCAATATAATTAATACTTTTTTGTAGTAATATTAAATCAAATGTTTTTTACAGATGTTTCAAGTAAGCCTGGAACACCGGAACTCGAAGATTGGGACGTCGATCGCGTCGATCTCAAATGGGAACCTCCAAAAGATACTGGCGGTGCGCCAATCACTGGTTACATTATTGAAAAGAAGGAGAAACCTTCTTCGCAATGGGAGGAAGCTCTTGTCACCGACTCGCCACAACCAAAAGGTCGTGTTACCGGTTTGAAAAAAGGTTCTACTTATCAGTTCCGTATTCGAGCTGTTAACAAGGCTGGACCATCGGAGCCTAGCGATCCGACCAAGCCGCACGTTGCAAAAGCAAGATTCCGTGAGTATTTCAATCTGATTAACAAATTATAATAGAAATTCTATAGGCTCTAATGAATTAAATCAATTAAGAATAATAAGTCTTTGAAAGCCAATGCTGGATGTAATTGCAATCAAGTTTTATTGTATATATAATAATTAAATGAGAGCACGAGCGTGGCATGATAGATACAGCGCATTGGTCTATCATGTCAGATCCCGGGTTCGATCCCAGTAGGAACTACTAAAATATTTACGCTCTTGTCTCCTCTCGGAAAATGCCGGCAACCTTCCGAGAGTATCCTTGCTTACAGAAATACCTCTCAGAAAAATCCGTCGTTTGGAACTGGCATTAAAATAAATTCCATGTGCTTATGGCAATTGAATAATCAGTGTGTACATCACCAAGCATATGAAAGAGATAAACAGGAGACCTAACGTAAGAAGAAGAAGAAGAAGAATTAAATGAGTAAAACGTTATATGTAATAAAATTTCGATTCTTAGTTTGAATTTTCTTCAGTAAATATATAATTGATAAACTTCCGTTTAGTGTAACGTATTTTTCAAGCAGCGCAGTATTAAAACAATAGAAATCTAATGAATTAAATCAATTAAGAATAACGAGTCTTTGAGAGCCAATGCTGCCATGTTATTCTTAATTAATTTAATTCATTAGAATCTATAGAATTTCTATTGTTTTAATACTGCGCTGAAAAATGCATTACACTAGACAGAAGTTTATCAATTATGTATTTATACTGAAGAGGATCCGAACTAGAAATCGAAAAGTTTTACTCATTTAATTGTTATATACAATAAAACTTGATTGCAATTATATCAAGCATTGGCAAGGCTCGTTATTCTCAATTAATTTAACAAATTACAATTAAATATAACTTGTTATTATATACAAAAAGCTCAAAATATTTAATAATTATAAATTATAATTTATAAACAAAAAATTATAATCTATAATT